TGTATTTTTAAATATGTCTATATAGTTTTTAAGTAATTTTTTAGTACTTCATCTAAGCAAAAATCAAATGTTAACTGCTTGAAAGAGCGGCTCCTGTCGATACGGCCGCAGCTGCGTCTTCGTTCTGCGTTGGAGGGGTTAAGTTCGAAAGTCTGACAGCTTTCTGGAAAGACATGTTGATATATCTTTGTGGTTGAGGGGTAATTTCACGGGATAGAAATTAGAGAGAACGGCAGTTGCACATGCACACACAGTGAGGTATTGGCATTTTTTGTTGCCAATGTCTAACGGAGAGCAAGCGTAGCCACAGGGGGGAAGAGGAGGAGAGATTCCAGATGTGAAGGGTTTTCAGCAAATAAAGAGCTGGAAAATGAAAAGATGATGTTTGTAACTCAAGTACAGACAAATCGGCTGCTCTTTTATTGTGTGAGTGATCTCCCTTAATTGGTCTCTTAAGCTTTGGTGTATTTATCTGCTTTGAGCAAAAATACGGAAATGAATAAGTGACTTCAGGAGATGGATATGTAGGTGCACCTTTGCACAGCTTGATTTCTTTCTATTTCCACTCTGATATCCTCATCTGCATGCCACCTTCGCCAGTTTACAACTGGATGCTAAACACGAACGTAACATAATAATGTGGAGAAATCCAAAATCCCCATCATTACTAGTCATATCATGCCAATCGGTGTCCTAGTCTGCATCGCAGCATTCTGCTTTCATGCATACGCAAGCATTTAGTGGGTATCATTTCAGATTGCACAAAGAATTTCAAGCCTCTTTCACTTTAATACAAGTTCTAGCGTGAAATAAACATGATTGAACATCAGAAGGTATGTTGAAAGATACAGTATGACTTACCGATATGTATCATATCTCATGAAATCGCTCAATCAGCACAGAAAGACGCCAATAAAGCAGCCTTTGAATGGTGTCACTGAACATTGCATTTACCTCAGGAAAGTTATCCACTGTTCACAGCTGGTTAGTTAGTAAAATTATATATATATGCATATTTTGGCAGTTAAGGCACACTTCAAGTATGAATTTCATAGCATTAAATATGATTTGTTTTGGAATGTATGTTTTGTCTAAATTTTGTGTTGTCATACTGATAAATGTGTACCTAGGATGCATTGTGAGAATAAAAAGCATCTGCCAAATTACTAAATTTAAATGTTTTCTAAACTAAAACCTAATAAATGACCTTTTATGTCCAACGTGATGTCCAAATGTTATGTTTAAAATGTTTAAAAAGTGTAATTTCTGAAGAAAAAAAAATAAAAAAATAAAAAAAATGTTTACCTCAGCTGAGTGACAAACATCAGGTCTGTCCAGCAATATATATATATATTTTTTTTCTCTTTAAAATAATAAAACCTAACAATTGTGTTTTTGTAAAAAAAATTGCGATTTAAAGTCTGCTTCAGCGATCTTTAAAATATGCCAAAAATGACAAGTCCCCGGATATGTTTTGGGACTGTAATAAACATATATGTAAATTTCATCTCTGACATTGTTTGCTCTGCTAGCAGTGTTTTTGACTTGAAGCAGAAATGGCAAGTCTTTAAAGCGTACATGATGAATGTCTTGCTCCATTTAGCGACTAAACATGGCATATATAGCTTGATCTCCCGCAAGAGAAGGGCTGTAATTATTCCAGCTTGCCAAAAACGAGCACACAACCATGTGGCGCTGAGCTCCGACTTCAAGTCTACTTGATTCCTCACTTTTTCATTCGGTCACTCTCTTAAAATCCTGTCCAGAGCTGCTCACGCCATGAGATAAAGCAGAGAGGAACACATAGATGCAAATGTTTTGAGATAAAGCCAAGTGCATCAAGTCTTTCTCATGAAACATACATGATAAAGCACAGACTTGAAAGAAGGGAGGTGGGCTGGAATAGTTATTAATAGACTTTTCCGCTTTCTTAAATTGAGTTCAGAATAAATTGCAAGGGTTGAAGTTTTCTAACATCATTTTGTGGTGAGAAGTAATTTTGTTTGGAACAAGCTGGATGAACTAGCATTGAATTTAATGTGTTTATCTGGTCAAGGGTCATCTTTATTTGTTTAACAGTTTGCCCCGTGTGATTTTTGGGAACTTAAGCCAGTGGTGATTCTCACAAACATTCTTTGCATTTCTCTTGATAGAAACATAAGAAGCGTATAATAATCTTCTGTTTGTGGCTAGTGACGTGTTTTGAACTTCAGATCCCAGGCTGACAGCTAGGAAGTGAGAGACAGAGAGGAAGGGGGTTGAATTGGAGGGAAAATAAAGTGTTTTTGTAGGAAATTGTTGTTGTTATTATTTGTTGGCACCTTTGTTGAAATGAAGGCTGGATGCATTACAGTGCCGTTATCACAGCATGTGTTAGAATTTATCTTTACAGACTTTCAGCCAACCGACTTTAGAATAAGTTGAACTAACATAACACAATAGATTTTATACATTAGTAGTGTTTTAAAATGAATGAATGCATAATAATCACGATAATCATGAAATGGTGATTATTCCTCAATCTATAATCGCACCAACAAAATCTATAATCGTTGCATCCCTAAACTGGTTTATATAATATTTTAAAATGCTCATAATCAGATTAGTTACTTTTTTATGGATTACATGGTTACTAGTGGTCGACCGATACATCGCCAAGGCCGATATATCGGCCGATATCTGCCATTTTTCAAATATCGGCATCGGCCGATAAGTTTTTCTGTTTGGCTGATGTGTTCGAGGTGGGACTTTTATTTTGACGGCACGTCGGACTTTTATTTTGACGAGAACGCCGAGAACGGTTGTGGCAGCGCCTGAGCACACAGTGCTCACATTCTCCCTCTTGTTCGCTGTTGTCATTCAGTTCTGTCTAATACGGATAGAAGTC